GAGGACAGAGGAGCCTCTTAAAGAAGTAGTTACAGGTCTGTGAGAGCCAGACATCTTGCTTGTTTGTAGGTGACCAAAGAGTGGTACTGCCCTAGTGATGTACATATATATCTAGTGCAAATAGTGTCTTTTTGTTTGTTAGGAAACCTACTTCGCCTTCCTGATTTTGAGACTTCCTGCTGTATCCAACTGTGACACAACCCAGCTCCCATAATACCTGGCCAAAAGTTTGCTCCTTGCTTACTTATGTGTGGGAAACCATTTTTATGCATTATGTTATTAATATAAATGCCAGTGAGACTCTCTGGATGTTTACATGGGAAGTCATCTGTATTAAGGAATTCTCTGATTACAAAGCAATTCTGAGTAAAGCTGAAGCCTTTCATTTTCAACATTCTTTGGGGGAAGAAGGGATTGGTATTTGTTTGAATGAACCACCTGGGAACTCCTTCACATAAACAATTGTCCAGGATGCATAGGTGACATAAGTAGGCTTTTAAAAGATTTAAATCTTTTTTTCCCGATTCTACCCAATTGTACAGGGTGAAGCTTTGAAAACAGTGTGCTTCAAAGTCGAAGCTTAAGGAAGTAAAACCCATTGAAAAATGTGACAGTCTGATATATTTATGCAGTCAGTGTCTTTATATATGTGATACAGCCACACTTTCATACACCTAAATATCTTTATTCATACTATTTAACATACCCACACATGCATGCACCACATTCACTTACACACATTCTATTTAAAATATATCTTGTATATTTTATATACAATATAAAAGCAACCAGTGCTATGTGTGGTAAATTCACATCGTGCTTTCCATTCAAATATAAGACATAAATAAAAAAAAGAAAGGAAAAATAGACAAAGTAATGATTGGAAAACAATTTAAATATAGAAGAATTTTTACAATTGGCATTTCATGTTAAATAATATAAATAAATTCATTACATCCATTCACATACCAATTTGTAAAAAAGCACAATAAATTATTTTTTTTCAGTGCTATGTTGCTTTTTTTCTTTTTGTGTGTTTTTATTTGTATCTGTCATCAGTTGCCAACATTCTTGCATCAATTCCTTCCTATCACAACTACTTAAAGGGAAAATTACTGCATATTCAACCAATTTGAGTAGGTTTTGCTGGCAGTATTCATGCCGCTATTTCCCATGTGTTCCATGAAATTCTAACACATGATTTGGATGTTAGCATTTACCTTTAGATACCATAAATACATATTTTAATGTATGGCTTTAGATGATTGTTCAGGAACACAGAGAAGGGTCTTACCAATGATCAAAATCTGGTAAGTAGCTGAGACTTTAACGTTCTATTTGATCCAATTTAGCCAGTAAGATTTTTAGAGAAAATGTGAATAATTGAGTAGTAACTACATCCGAGTCCTTGGAATTGGCCTGCTTCCAAATCAGTCTGAAACTATAAGGCAATATAATTTGCACCAGCTTCACATTTACAAACAAACAAAGCAGTATGAAGGAGGTGAAGATGCAACAAAAACAGAAGTATAGGAAAGTGCAGGCCCGTAGGAAAAAGCTGAAATATACAGATCTCTTTAATTTTGCAACTTTCTTTTTGCTTGCCAAAATTTACAATGACTCTCACATGTTATAATTCTAACCATGATATAGGAAAGAATTAAAATCCAATTTTTTCTCATGCTTTTATTTGAAACTAGCTATCTTACACATGCTATGTAACTTAGACTATTTGAGTGCATCCTACTGATTTCAAAGATTCTTTCATTAATTTCTCTTTCCTGCCTGACAATGTGATGATTGTTTTTATGTGGAAACCTCAAGCACAGAAGAAAATCACTTCACTGTTACAATTCCATTTATATGTAGTATGCCAAGATCTAGGAACAAGTAATTTCAGGAAATGCTGAAATAAGAATAGAATCTGAACATAGTACAAAATAAAATTTATTCTTAACTGTTAATTTTTAAAATTGGATTGAGAGCTTTGTTTTTGTTTTCTAAAGAAAAGGCTGCATATTTTCTCAATATAAAAGTGCATTTTCAGTTTGAAAACCTGCATTATGTGTCTTACAGTATGTATAATATTTCTTTCAAGCCAACAATAGATAAAAATTATTGTTTTATAGCACAATCCAGAGAAGATTACTCTATAAAATGTTATGCCTTTGTGGATCTCTGATTCAAAAACCATATGTGCAGTTGCTCGTCTAAATGTACATGATGTAGATATTGTTCATCTATATTGCACTGCTTTTGATGGGATTTCTATTCTGAAATACCTGGAAATGTGCATTCCTGGTGACAGTCTCCTAACTAATCATATAGAATTGCACCTTTACAATTTGATTAAAGAATTAAAGATTTGTTCTAGAAACCTGACATAAAAACAACTGCTTTTAGGTTATCCCTATGGTGCACCAAGAAAGTGCATCTACATTCACGATTTCGTATCACTTGATGGCCTGAAGATGTCAAATGCAACTGCTTTACATCATGGATAATTGCCTCTAATTCAGTCAGTTTATTTATTTATAAACTGGGACAATTCTATTACTGATCTAAACTGTCTGTGCTGAATCAGGAAATCTCAAAGCTGTAGGATTCACTCATGTAAATAGGGCTTATATAACTAGATAGGCTAAACAAATAAAGTTCTTCCCCCTAAAAATCATTGCCTCAGAAAACAAATGCTTAAATGATGCATTCCATCCACAGCAATATTAAAAGCTGCTAATAGAAGCAAGTATATAAGTGCAAAGGTTTTAGATTGCAATGTTAATTTAAAAATTGGATATTTAGGATATAGTTGTGGCTCCAGTGAAATTTGTAATGAAATTCCATTGGAAATTAAAGCAGCTTGATTTGTCTGTACTTAAAATATTATGGAAGGCACTGGTAACAAAGATACAGTCTCAGTTTTCTATATTTTAATATTTCAGCCAAATGCTATATATTAAATGTCAATTAATTTCTCTTGATTTAGATGAGGTATTTATATTACTTTTCTAAACTGGAAAATTCATTTCCCTACAGTTTGGTAAAAAATAGAGTTTTCTCTCTGAAAATAATCCTATGAGAGTAAGCTACAGCTCCCACAACTAAATATGGCTTGATTTTCTTATGATCTTTCCAGACAATCCTATAGATATTCAGTCTGAAAAGTCTTGTTTTGTTTATTACTCCCTAATACAGTAAGTACATTTAGGATTTCAGCTTTACAATTAAAACTTTTGTCTATAAGTAATTCCTTCTGAATTCAATAAGGCTTACTTCTACCTACTTTCTACTCCCCAAAGTAGGTAGAAACTAAAGCCTTAATCTAAAAAAAATGTAATGACTTAAAAAATAAATACATCTTTGATTTGAAAACAAAAGTATTTCATGGATTCCCCCCATTCATGCATTATAGGTGAGTTTTGAAGTGCTCCTGAATGAACACCCCATTCATTTCATTGAAGGAACTGATATACATGTGCCAAAGGTTATGTATCCTTCTTGAAATTATGGGGCACTTTGTGCACATAAGATACATACCCAATCTGAGCATATGCAAATCTCTGGATTGGGGTGCTTAGTAACATGCAGCCAAATATTAGAAGAACTGGACAAAACATTGCTACATGAAGAAAACCAATGTTTTTGTTTTTGTTTTAACCACTGTGAAATTCTTCCCTACAGGCCAAATTCATGGCATGCTGTTAGATTTCCAGTAGAAACCACTTCAAAACTAACAGGGAAAACAGAGGTGAATACATTTCATAAATCTGTGCTGGAAGACACTTATGACATGACCCAGTGTCTCACCAAAATTTCCCCTTCCCATACATTGGGGATGAGTAAGCCACATGTAATCTCAGACTGTTTTCCAAACCTCTCTGTCAACAGTTAGTACAGATCTCTAACAAGAGTCATCTGCCTCTCCCACAGCAACTGCTAGATGGAAAAGGAGAGGGAGCTGAAGAGGGAAAGGAGTGGCAGAAAGGGAAAGAGGTAGTACAAATAGAGATGAAAAGGGAGTAGCAGAAAGGCAGATGGCAAAAAGCTAATGCCCCAAGAACTTTGGACTCTAGCTTCATCCCGCCCTGGATTTAGTGCTCTCCTGCACTGGCTGTCACCTGTACAGACATGTGGCGGTTGAGAGGAAAATAAAGTTTCTTCATTGTGTTATGTGTGCTGTTCCCAGGCAATGAATTCCCTCTATCTCTATTTGTGGCACATCTTTCATCATTTTTATAATTTCTGAGGTGCAGTATTCTAAACGGATAAAATAAAGTACATTTATTTTTCAAATTTTAAAGCAGCATATTGGCAGCTCTTTTTCTTTTCTACTGCTGCAGAGTGTGCCTATACAAAATTCCTCCTTAGAAAGGCATTAATATGGAATAAATTCTATTGTCAGGAAATTTTTAGAATAGAAATGCATTTCCTGTTGTCAGAAAGATATTACTTTTTTTTTTCCTTTAAAGCAGCAAGCTCTTCATTTTCCAGTAAAATACCCACAGCCACTTTTTAAAAAACGGCATATGAGTCCACAGTGGCTGCAGACCTACTGTACTTTGGTCAATCACTTGTGTTAAACATAAAGGCTGCTGTTCTTTGTAAGAAAATCAAGTGATATAAAGTGACATACCAAAGCAAAGATATTTACAAATAGTATAAAAGAAGCTATTGTAGAATCATGGGTAATTTTGACAAGTTGTCTAAAGACATACTGTGTTAGAGGTAGGTGAGAAAAGGGAGATGATTCTGTAACTGGATATCCCATGATCACCTCTTCACTGGTTTATCCTCTTATTTGCAGATATAAAGGGCTCGTAACAGCTAACACTTAGTGCTTTTGACATATTAAGATCACCTCACAGGACGAGCTCATATCTCCTTTTGGTCCAAATAGGCATGTTCTGCCAAGAACAACTGCCAAGAATATGAGAGAATATTGAAACATTGTCTTCCTTTTGTTCCTGGGTAGATCTTATGTCAATATGTCAAATAAGATTCAAGAAGACTCCTTTTGAAGAAGTCTGCAACCACAGGTTAACATTTTTTGAATAAACACTGTTTGAATGCTGAAGGTCTTTGAGACAGAAGACAACCTTTAGCTAATTTCCCATTCCCATCTTTACACTGGACAGTTCTTGTATGCCAACCTGTATCACATGTTCGAGAACAAGAAAGCCATGGTCCAGTTACCCACTGGGGTTGAGCAAGTGATGGGCTAATTTTGTTACTACTGTTGTTGCTAGTGACAGAATTTGTCATTTGGGTTTGCTTCTTTGGCACATAGAAACTATAGCGGACATCCACTGGTTTAGTTGGATCTGTGGCAAGAATCTGTACTATCAGGATCTCCTTGGTGCCTGTATGTCCCATGGCATGCAAGAAATCATCTTTGTGACTCCAGCCGCTGTAGTTCATAACTGTTCCATTGAGGTCGATGATGGTTTCTGAAGTTGAGATCATGTATTTTCCATTGACAAGATACTCACCGTTTTTCTTTTTCAAAGCCAAGTAAGCAGTGAACCTACTTTGGTCTTTAGCTTTGAACTGTCGTATTTTGATGTGTGTTGCTCCTTCTGGTATTTTAACAATATCTGTATAACCCTTACTGAAACAAAGGAAGAATAAGTTAGTCAAGCATAAATTAACATCCTTTCAATAATTTGAACAAATTTCGATCTTCTATCTGTCTCCACTAAAAAGAAATTAATTTAAACCAATAGAATGCATGGGAAATATAGTACTTTTCAGTTTATTTGCACTTAGTAGAAGTAATCTCAGAATCCCATGAAAATGACAATTTAAAATACAAGTTTGGAAAAGCATTTTGATAGTGATACCTCAAATGAAACATGAGTTTACAATCCCCATAATTATTCTCTGTTGTAGATTGCCATCTAAACTGGTGGTAAAAAAATGAGCTTCCACTTAAATGTAATTATTCCAACTATTAAATCCATATATTAAAACTGTACTGACAGTAGAATGTATCAACCAATTATCATACAAATTAAAAGCACTAGCCATTTTATAAAATTGCTTGAAGGGAAGAAAGTGAGAAATTTCCAATAATCCAAGACGATTTTCAAAGAAAGAACTCAGATAATACCTATACTAATTCAAGAGGAGTCTGGAAATGTAACTCTTTTATTTGATTAGACAAAACTATTACAACGTATCCCAACTATTTTTAAAATTAGTATTTCATACACCTGAAGAAAGTATCAGAATATTTTCTATATGTCAATAAAAATTTGGTTGTGTCAGTTTCAGAACAGTAAGTGTGATTTAATATTTGAAATATGAATCTGCACACTGAAAGGCCAAGGAGTAGTAAACTGCAAGCTAGGCATCAAAAACTAGGCATATAAGGGGGAAAGTCACAGATAATTTTCCTGGATTTTAAGTGAACTCCTGGTCAACCTTAAATCCCTTCCTATCTTCTAATAGTAAGGCAGAGATATCAGCTTATGTCTGGACACAGGAGCAGCTACAGGGTTCGAAAGGAATTTGAAATAATTGGATAGCTTTGAGGCTGCTCTCAGGATGCTGCAAAACAAGAGAATTAATAGTTTTATCCTGCAGCATGAATGCAGACTTCAGAGTTTGTCCCCTAACCCTTTTTTCATGAACATAGATATGGAGGACTTATCAGATTAGGGATATGTAAGTTGCAGCCTTAGGGTCACATGCAACTGGCCCTTTTTCCTTTATGGTCCCCAGAATCTTCTTTAATTACGAATACTAAGAGTTGGTGGTTTGATTTTCTACCATTTTGAAGCTGGAAACATGAAAATTGTAGTATAAGCCCTAAAATAGGCTTAACATAGCTTTTAAAAAACAAAAACCTGGCATTTGCTCTCCAAAATGCAAAAGGCCTTCATTCTCAGACTCCTTCCAAATGTTTAAATATGGCCTTCACTATCAGAAGGCTGTATGCTGCTTTAACAGGTATAGTATTCTTGGACTTTCAAACAGCCTTCCATAAAACTCCTCACTTAAGACACCTATGCAGATCAGGTAGCCATGAGATAAGAGGACAAATGTCCCTGGGAGTGGTAATTGGTTATAGAACAGAAAGTAGAAATAAATTGATTATTTTTACATTGGAGAAACATGCAAAATGAAGTATCTTGGGTTTGGTTCTGACATTACCAAAGGCTCTGCCTTTTAATTTTTTTATAAATGACTTTGAGGTACATGCGATAGGAAGATGGCCAGATTTGTTGACCTGAATGGTAAATTCAAAAACAAAGTCTTGCAAAAGGATAAATACATATAGTTCAGTGTCAATAAATGAAAGTGGAATAATAATAATAATAATAATAATAATAATAATAATAATAATAATAATACCCTTACATATACATCAGTGGGTACACATGGGTGAATTTCATGCTAAGAATCATTAGAAAATGATTTAAAAAAATAAAACTATCAATCTGTCAATATAGTCATTGCCTTCCATAAATTTACAGTGAGACTGCAGTTGCAGTAGTTTGGTCACCATATCTCAAAAAAAAAAAAAAGTAGAGCTAAAGAGATCCAGAAGGAAGACAAACAAGATGATTAAGGGGTAGATCAGTTCTCTACTAGGAAAGGCTACCATATCTGGGCTTTTTAGAAGAGACATGATAGAAGTATGCCTAGCATAGAAATCATCACTAAAATTCACTAAAACCAAATATGGAATGATTCAGGATTGTTAAAGTAATGTACTTCTTAATACCATAGTCCATGCAGTTTATTAGATGGGACAGCTGCCAATTTACCTTTTTTAGCATAAGGACATACGTATGTGACTACAAGTCTCGATTTCTGTTTCTTGAATCATAGGCAGAATACCTTAAATAGCAGCTGCAGACATGGACAAGAGTTTTAACTCTCCTATCCTATTGTGAGCTTCTCAGATTTACCTGGTTGACCACTGTAGGTCACAGAATGGGTCTTTGTCCTGATACAGCACAGATCTTCTTAAATTCTGAAGTTCTTACTTGGACAACAGATCTTTCCCTTGTTGAGTTCCACTGCATATCTAAGTGCACCCTACATACATATTTTTTAAACTTTCATAGGCAAGTATGGGGCCATTATAATATAGGATACAATATTCTTGACCATATGTTTGCTATGTATATAATACACATTTGTTCCTGAATTCTGCATGAATGCTATTTCTTACAACAATAAGAAATTCAAGTGAATATGACTGATTGTATTGTTTATTTCTTGCTTACCTCTTTTTATTAAAGTTTCCCATAATTTTTGTGCAACTGGAATTGTCTCCACCACAAATTCCACACTTATCATACTGGAGCTTTGAACCAATAATGCCATCACATCCAGTTCGTACACATTTTCCACGGACACACACTGAATTACTATATGGCCTACATTCTGTTCCATCAGTCACCTGTTCAATAACATAACTATGTTTAAAATTGAAGTTGTAAGATTTTTTTTTCATTTTTAGTCACACACACAGACACACACACATGAACATGACTGATAAATATAGAACACTGGCAATACATCTAATAATATTTTACATCTAATAATAATATAATAATAAAAAATATCTAAGTTTACATTAGACCAGCTTTCCTCAATATTGGGCTGTCCAACTGTTTAAAGAAAGCCAGCCAGGGCTACTACATGCTGAGCTCTGAAAGAACAGCCGTATACTTACATTGATATTATTAGTGAACATTCTATACACAAAACTTCAGAAATGTAAATATTTTGTAAGCATGCAGGGCAGCTATTTTACCTTTTGAGAAAAAACTACATAGTAGCCAGTTCCTTTAGCTCGGCAGGTAAGCTTGCAAACATCTCCTGGGAGCACTCCTGCATATTTTGGGACCCATTCTACAAAGGTTTTGACACCTTTTGCATCTGATTGGTAACCATTTCGTGCTTCACATTGTTCCTGACGAAAAGCTTTAGCTGGAGAAGAACAACTCATTCATTATTATTCATACCTATGAAGATAGTGTCTCAAAGCTAGTGTACACATCAAGTGTGTGTTAGTTCTAGCACCTCAATTCTGTAAGACTCAGGATCTATTTCAAGGCAAAACAAGTAAAAGCCAAAGGCTGTTATCTAACCAAAAACCATTTGTCTACCATGTCAATCACTAATGATGTTCCAAAGGATAATTTTATGATGATTTGTGTGCCATACATTATAGTAAATGTGAGCCACCTGCAGCAAATAAGCCACATTTGACCTCAGAGACCTTCTATAGAGGGTGTACAGATGCCCAAACTGCTGCCACTAAAATTTCTTCCCTCTACTACCAACTTCAGTCCTCTTTCACAGGCTATAGGAAGTGTAATTGTGATACAGGGATGGCACAGGATAATTACTTTTCCAGCCTGTAGCTAACAGATCTGAGTTGTGATGAGGTTACCAATGTGTTGGCAATGACAATCTTTATGTCTCTTTTTAACCATCACAACTATGCTTCTTATACCCTGACAAATCCTGTGTGATAACTGGATAGACTGGATTTACATACACAGAAGTAGAGTGGGACTTTTTTTCCCCTTAAAGCCTGAAGATTCACCAAGTAGATTTTGGTGCAAATAATTTAGATCTACATCTAAGCCCAGGATTTTCTCTAAATGTCCATATGAACTTAGCTCACAGCCCTTTTCCCCCAGAAACCCAATATCTGATATATTAATTCTGTTATCTTTTTTCTCTTTCTTTTTAGCCATATAGTTTAAGATTGGAAGAGGAAAGATTAATTTTGTTGTTGTTATTGTTAAACATTTGGAATTCAGATATGCAAAAATGGATCAACAGATATGCAAAAAGTCTGCCTTTTACCCAAGTCTTTTGCTGTAACCTAACCTGGCATTTGTATTGCATGTGCTATTATTTTTGGTTTATAGAAATCATACCATTGGCAGAACAGGGCACGATGTTACAGGACCGATAGATAGCCCGTTTTCCTGTACAGTATCGACCATTGTTTCTAGGAGCTGGATTATTGCAGTGCCGATAGGCAAACTGAACACCTCCACCGCATGTACGGGAGCAATGTCCCCATGGTCCCCAGGATCCCCAATTGCCATGGTTTGAAGCCTAAAACATAAATTTCAGTATATTATAAAATGTCATTGATAATCGCTGGAAAAAAAAAATCATATATCAGCCACCTATACTTGTGTTCCTATTTTATAATTCTATCCATCCCTTTTCTGGAATTATTAGTTGACTTGATAAGCTATTTATATGCATACCTAATCATTCCAGTATTGTTTCTGGCTTATTGTCATGCTCAAATGTAGCATGACCTCTATTATTTTAGCTGGTTTAATTCCTTTATACTGTATTTAGAAGTTTGTTTAGTCTATTGTTATAGATTTGATTATTATTGTCTTTTAAATATTTATGAAAAGAATTCTGAGTCCCTCTCTTGACAATCAGTTGGTTAATTCCTGGACTGCCTGTCTGCCTGCCTGCCTGCCTGCCTGCCTGCCTGCCTGCCTGCCTTCCACAATCTAAAGCAGAATATATTATTTCTCTTTGCAGTACACCAAGAATTGTCACTCCCTCCCAGATAAGGATACAGATACAAATAAGAATAGAATACAACTAGTTCATACTCTGTGTATGAGTATGTGAATGTGTGAAACTGGAATATGGATGTTCTTGCTGCAACAGAACTTGTGAAGTGTGCACTATTGCAAAATTACTCAAAAAATATTATAATTAAAAGAGAAGCTTCTCGTATTCTTTAATTTTTGTCCTATACACACTAGTGGACTGAGCTTCTTAATTCATCTGACTTGTCTATAGCATGATAAAAAGGGGATGAATAGAAGAAAAATAAACATTCTGCTATTACTTATGAATATCTGAGAAATTAGGCCATATAGGATGCTATATCCATGATGTTAAATATACAGCTATAAAGCTGTGGAAACCTTTAACAGGTACATGGAAAGAGCTCTGGGATATCCTCAGTTGGGGAAAACTGATCTGAGATATGAGACTAGTGTTGGGTGGAGTTGTGCTCTTCTTTTAGGACCAGACATATAGTTTAAAAGATTTCTTGTACTCAGCATCATCAATGAAATGGTGTCACTAATTAGTAGGAGAATACTTTTAGATGATTTGAAATTTGTGTCCAATTTGAAAGGTGTTTCTCATTCAAGAAGAAACAGACATTAATCCATATCCTATGGACATCCAGGCCATACTAAAATGTTCTGCATATGACGCTGCCTTTAAAAACATTTTCTCATATGCTTTCACACAAAATGAACCAATTACCAAGGAATGTAAACTCAATCAATAAAATTATTGAGAAATGTTGTTCAAGTTTTTCATATTCATATAATTGCTTTGTCTCCTATACTGTTTACTGCTCATTTCCTTGGATCACTTAGCCACCTTAAGTATTTGACATCTACCCTTTTTACCAGCTGGAACATAAGGGAAAATTGTCAGATGAGCAATAATATATAATGGAAGGACAAAACATCTTATGTCATATGCAGCTGACCTTACTTCATTAAAATCATTACAGAGATCTGCTATAATTTACAGTTTACAAAATATCCACCTCAAAATGGAAGAAAGGAAAGGATGCCTAGATAGGGGATTTGCTACTCTGTCCATTTCTTCACTGTCCATAATACATTGTTGCCATTCTAATGAATAGGGAAATGAAATTAGAAGTACAAGTTACTTTAGATTCCAAAAACAGGTTCTTCAGGGCAAGAACAATGTAGTCTTTAAAAGAAATGTTCTTGATCCTGGGTCAGTCACTGACTTTAACAAATGTTCTAGGCTCTCCCATTTTGTCATAAAACTTGCCTAGCATGGTACTTTCCAGATAGGCAGAAATTGGGAGAGACTAGAATAAACTAATGCATGGACAACATTCAGTCAGTCATTTAACATTAAATCATGTTAGTCCACTCAGAAATTGTTCAACTTTTCAGTAAATTTGGTTGCACTAAAGATGGAATCCCTGATCTAGTATTTAGAATGGTACACCATATGGCCAGCAGAAGACATGTTGTGTCTTGATAAGATGAAAGTTTCAATAAAGTGAGCAAAAGAAAGCTCGACTATCAATCGCACCCCAATAAAGGAAAGTGGGAATCCTTGATTAACATTTTATTCTGCTAAGGGGTTATTCCTTTTGAAACCTCAATTAAATGTGCTTAGATTAAATGTGATTAATGTGATTAAACATTGCTCAACTTCGCATTTTAATAATTCGCAGTTTAATAATTAAAGTAGCAACATACCGAATAATATTTTTTCTTTGTTTTATCAACACATTTCCCTTGAAGGCAGATCCTTCCTTTTCCACATGGTGTCCCCTCCACAGCAGGAAGCTTCTTGGTCAAACACACCATTTGACCTTGGCGCACAACGGCACACCACAGACGAGAGCACACATCCATTCCAGGACACACTGTGTATTCAGGCCCAAATGCCAGCTTGCACTGACGAATGGCGTCATATGTTTGTCCTGGAAGTTCCTCAGGACCTAAGATATGTTTTCGTGGTTGATCCAGTAAACAGTTACCTGAAACAACAACCTCATTTATAAATTGTTTCCTTTCTAAGATACTTGCCATACTTCTGAGCTTTCCAACTTGATAAAATTATCAAGATTTTCTTCCAAGCCTATTTACCACTCTGGCAACTTGTAATTATATCCTATTTGTGTCTGTATATTGTATAATCTCTGCCTTTATAATGTAGCTAATCTCACAGGCTGCCATTCATGATTAATTTATTTTAGCATAGTCCCACAAAAAAACTTATGCTATAGATCACACATACACACACACCATTGCTTTGAGTTGCATTTCAATTTATAACTGATAGTATGAACTACAGAATGGGACATGGAATCTTCTTATTCATGTGTGTTTGCTTCCATTTACCGAAAGTGACTTTTGGAGTGGGGTCTTCCATATTAATCAGTGGAATTTATAAACATTTAAAAAATAACAAAAACTGCCATTTAAGAATGTTGAGACAACACCACTTCTGAAAAGGTAAAGCTTTTAAAGGAAAGCCAGAATAAGCATGACATAGAACTGTAGCCAACAAAATCATTTAAGAATAGAAGAAGTGGGTGGGAATCTTCTATTCAAAACCCAAACAAAATTGGCAGAGGAAAAGGAATATTGATGGCAGGAATTCATTAAGCATACTAAAAAGCAAATGAACCACAAAACCCAACAGCAAACATCCACATCTTTAATAAATGGGAAAAGTTGTTATCTATGATGACAGACGTTGACTTTGCAGCCACTTTCTTGAAAATAGCTTGTAGACTTGTCTTGGGAATTCTGTTCTAGGTAATAAACAGAATGGAATAGAGCAGAATATAATACTGTTATTTGGGGTTCAAATATTGTCTTTCCAATCTTCCCATTCTTTTTGTGAAGCTACGGAGTATGGCTAGTCAGTAGTGGGCTGTTTTTACTTGATTATTGGAGAGGGATAGACTTTTTAGTTTTTGTAACTAATTTTGATTGTTGTTGTTTTGTGCTTCATGGTTCCCCAAGCATAGTTTTTTTTGTTTTTCTTCTTATGCATGATACTACTTGGACCAAATAAGCAACAGCATTTACAGCCTAACAATCATGAATAGAAGAATTCTTTCTGCCTGTCCCCCCCATAACTTGTACTTATATCATTACAGAGGTGTATGACTAATCTGAATGACTTTCTGATTTGTTTATAGTCCTTATAAGAGAAAATATCTTACAAGACTCTTATGAGGGTGCCTGGTATTTAGTGAATCTTTATTTCTCTTCAGCTGAAACAGTTTATTACAAACTCTCTTCCTTCCATTTGATCATGGATGAAAGCATATAAATAATAAATCTCAGTTAAATGCTTTAGAAACATAATGAGGATAGAGGTAAGAACTTATCTTTAAAACTTTCTTTTTCAATAAATTTATCACTGTACATTTCCTTGAAGAACGAACCCATCATGTTGCAGTGAGAGCTATATCACCATGGTGATGGCACTCTACTGAATATCCACACAAAATTCACAACCAGTGACATCTGCAACTATATACTCAAGCAATTTCCTTGGGGCAGTGGAACAAATCCACAGTTAATATCATTCTTCAGACAAACTTTTTTACATACAAAAAAGACCACAAAGGAAGGGAGGCATACAATTCCATTTAGATAAGACAGCTGAGTCGATTGCTCTGTGGTACATATAAGGAATAACTTATGGCTGCTAGCTTAGTAGGAAAGAATATCACTAGACCAAACTGAAAGCCTAACCCAATGAAGATTTAATCAATTAATTCCATTTATTTATTTATTTTGCTGTCCCTAGGACTTTTGTGAAACCTAGCTTTGGATATTGTCAGGCCCAGCCCAAGAACAATGGTGAAACAGTCCAGTTGAGTTAAGTTCCTTTATTTGTTTACACCATATAGACAGAATCTTGCCAGACTAAATGTATACTACTGCAACTAGTGGATATACCCTGGGAGATTCTAGGGAGTAGCTGTCCTGAAGCTCTTATGCTTCCCACACTCCCCCTGTGGACTGTGTTGTCTTCTGTCTCCTTCCCCTTCCTGGCATTCACCCCCTCCTTCCTGACAGCCTTGTTTTCTGTTGCTGTCCACCACATTACCCTTCCCTTTCCATCATATATATCAAAGTTAATAAAGATGTTTTATAGAAAAGGAGAAAAGAAGCAAGAATTTGGGCACCCAGAGTTATACAGCACTACAGCATCAACCACTCTACCCCAGTAATCCTATCCAAGAATTGTGAAAACTAATGATCCAATCAAAACTTGTAAAAGGCATTCTAGACAAAGAAGTCTTCTACTTATGAAGTGAAAGAACTCTTTTTCTGCTGTTTCCATAAGGATGAAACTGTATCTATAAAAAATGAAATATTCACTAGTCAGCTATGAGAACCACTTTCCAAATCTTGCTAGCCTTTATCTAGCTCTTTATAAACTCCAGATATCACTTTTAGCACCTGGATATAGGTGAAAAAAAGAAATAGTACTGGCTGTCATCAGCACTCCAAATTCTTTGGCCATCTTTTTTACAAGAGACGAGCCTATTATGGGATGTCTTCTTTGAGTTTAACCCTGCACATACCTTCTGAAATCAGCTGTGTATGTATGCGCAAAACTGCTGTATTGCTGTGTGATCCAACCTCAAGAACTGATCCAATGAGACACTATACTCAATTATATTAAAAGCTGCTGTGAGATCATAGAATATCAAAAGGGTGATGTTCCCCTTCCCTTTTGTCAGACCTTGTTCATCACAACAACCAAATGTTTTGACAGCACCTTCAGATTTGCTTTCAGAGACTTGTTTTCACCGAAAAAGGAACTTGTTTTGGCTTAGAAGGCCTGTAAGTCTATATGAGGCCCTCTGAGGCCCTCTGAGTATTCAGAGCTACTTTGAGGGAGATGGTAAAGGGAAAGAAAACAGCTGTGGTTGCTAAACTCAAGTTTTTATCCCACAAAATCCCTGTTAGAACTTGAGTATTTAAAAAGAAGATCTGAGACATATATTCAAAATTTGATCCAATTCTTGAAAATGTTATCTCTTTTTTGTCTTTTCTAGCAAGTGATTATACAACCTCTGGACAAAAGATAAAGGAGGCATCATGATCCAAAACTTAACAATGGGTACCTATCAAGACAGGATTAAGACTGGGACCAGAGTTCGTTTTTTTCCAAAAACAACTTGTTCCTTCTCTTTTTTGGAGAAACACATTTAGAAACTACAAATAAGCATCTTTATTGTTTTTAAGACCCAATTAATGGTTTAAAAACAGTATTTTTGGTAGCTTAGCATGTGACTCTCAATATTGACTTACCACATTGTTTATTCTAACAATAAACAGAAAAATAAGCCTGCTGCTTTGCAAGTTGGCATTTGTTCTGCATGTGGAGAGAGAAATGCCACAGTGGCCAATGACAAGTGTCACTGCCCAGAAGACAGCTGGTGGCCACAAGGAATCCTGCAGGCTGTGTTTGAGAAATACTCCAGTGACTGTAAATAGAATGTTGAGCTTATAGTACATGGTGCTACTACATGAGCAGGTAGTGAAAGATTCCTATTACTATCTAAGTAAGCATTTATGTTTAGTTACATTGTACACCAAAACATTTTCCTTTATTACAGATACCACATAGAAGGGTATCCATTACTTCTACAATCTACCAACCGGGGAGAAGGAGGAAACCTTTCTCTTGGTGGGCAGAAGCAGTCACTTCTGCTTTCTGTCTAGCTAGAATGTTTGGGTTGCCACATTACCCCCAAAAAGAAGAAAAACATCATTCTTTCTTCTACTCCCTCCCTTTGTAACCACACAGAAAAAAAAAAAACTTGAACAGTTGCAAATGCCAGTTCATTAAAATAACATGCATGTTCTTCTGTTATTTTAATTTATTTCATTATTTATAAAATTTACAATCTATGTTTTCGTTAGATCTCATAAATCACTTGAAAATGAATCAGAGCTTAGTGGTCTAACCTCTTCCTGAATAAGAAGATAACCAATTAAAGGCAGAATTTTGCAGTTATTGCTATTTTTGTTAAAATTTGTTTTTATTTTGTTAGCAGGTTAGACAGTGAAGGCTGATAGAATTGTAATCAGAACACAGCCACTGAAAAATAAGTGGTAAGTATCAGTATACAAAGGTAAACCTTGACATTTGCAGAATTATTATGGTAATTTTAAAAAAGCAGCTAATGGTGTAATGAGGCCTGAATATAAAAGGATATTTGCAAATGAGGATAAGACAAGCTTATTGGAGAAAGTTATGGTTATGTTTTTTTTTAATTGCTTTAGCATACCTGGGATAATATTGTTACTCAATATATTACTGGATATTGTAAGCCACTTAGAGTCTTTTGGAGTGGGTGGCCATTACTTATTATTAAATAACAATAACAACAGCAGCAGCAGCAGCAGCAGCAGCCTTGGTCTATAAGATTCTGTTAATGTAACTTTACAATAAAGATAATATTCACTGTTGTGCTTGTCTGGACTACCTTGAAGGGCTAACATCAGTCTTGCAAGAGTCGTTTCAATGAGATGGGCAGTAACAAATTTGATATATAAATAAATACATATAAAGACTGAAAGTATTTCTCCCCTCCTTTCCTTTTACTCTCCAGAAAACTAGGGAGGATCCCTTCTCTTCCTCCTGTCTTTGAAGATCATTCCCACGTACCATTACAGTTCCACAAGCACCCTCTGAAACTGAATAGGCTATCAGACATCTGGAGTGTTCCAGGGAAAAGGCTCCTATCTTTCTACTGTGGGCAGTGGGTATAGAAAACTCCAGGGCCAACAAATAGTCATCTGTCCCTGACAAGGTACAAACAGTGACACTCCTAAGTCCAGAACACATTGCCACTACCAACAAACAAAAAACAAACAAACAAAAATAGATACAAAGTTTGGTCCTTACTGTGCATCGGGCCTTTGATAGCATGAGTCAAGTCCATAGTCACCATGGTGGCTATGAACATCCAAGTCACTTCAGACTCTGAGCTCAGGGAAGGCAGATTAAACTCTCCGAAAACCATGAGTCTGGAAAAATCCAATGCCAATCCAGCCACAACATCAAGCAGTTCAGGCTGGAAAGCTGCTACACAGCAGGGAAGGCAGTACAGTAGCAGCAATCTCATCTATTCCCTAAGTTCAGAAACGGAGTCTGACATCAGGCTATCTGTGGAGCAGCACCTCTGAAAGCTGCAAGAGTCTCCCAGATGACAGTAGGTACTTTCCCACCATTCCAGCCTCCATCCTTACCACAGATAAGGTTTGTAAAGTAATTCCAGTGGCACAGAGAATAGTCCAAACTTTCCACAGTCCTAATATTCATCCACCAACCCTCTTAAATATATTAGGCCACCAAAATTCTAAGTCCATCATGAGCCTCTATCTTGCCTTGGCACTGTTACAAAGAAACACAAGTTCTCTTATCAGTTGGCAAGAAGGCCTGCCTTTCAGACCATTTCATGTGGAGTCCTTGGGGTTCTCTGAGCTTGGTTGTTTTCTTGTAAATGTTTCATTATCCAGCCAGGTAACTTCTAGGTTACGTAGCTGGGTAATGAAACGCTTGGAAGAAAACAACTAAGCTCAGAGAACCCCAAGGATGCCACGGTTCAGCCCTGAGCTACACATATTTGCTTTTATTGAGACCATTTCATGACCAGAAGTGAAAAATCTAGCTTTGATACTGAGAAGTCAGGATTTTTCTAAGTATATTGATATTTACCTATTATTTCTCAGTGGCTGGCTTTTGACTACAACCCTATCAGTTTTTGTTTTCTGACTTGCCATCCAGAGAAACAATAATAGCAGAATCCTATCTTTTGTTAATTTGTAGAACTCATTCTAACTCTTCAGGGGGGAAATCCTCCTATCAATATATTAGTATAGATAATGCTTCTGAGTACATATAGCACATGTGTGTTGAAGTCTGTGGGAGGCAAAAAGATAATTCAAAAGGAAGATGGAAGTTATTAGAACTATGTACATTTTGATACCAAGGTCACAGAAGGTAAGGTCTAAATATCTCTGAAGAAAGCAATTATAAAGGAAAACCAAGTTTAGGTTTTGAGTTTTATTCCTTGGAAAGATAGGCCAATAGGTAGCTGGAGTCCCTGTTATCAGTTTTTAATCAATTCAAGATAGGAAACACAATTTTTCTTCTAACCCTCATAATCCTTCTGTGATGGAAACTGAGGGACATTGACTGACTCAAAGTCACCTGAAGAAAAGCTTAGCAAGTATTTGCTTTTAACTACTAGGAGGTTAAATTAAGTACCTCTATGTCTTCTGGGGAGTTCAGAAATGAAACTAAATTGATGGGGGGGGGGAGGGAAATGATATAGAAGGACATTTTCTCCATTGAATAGTATGAGATTTCATAGCAATCCTATCCTTGCCCATAGGTGTAATTAGAAAAAATAGCACTTAAGTGTTCATTCATAGATAGAAAGTGGACTGAGATGAGTTGATGCTTAATCATTGCTCAGTGAGAAACAAAAATTAATACATGATAATGGGATAAAACATCTGATTGCATACAGTACTGCAAATATTCCCACACAATGCTGCTTTCGAGAGTTTTGCATGTAAACTCTGTTTTTCATCTATAAGTATTTTAGTTGCCATAACAACTGGGTCCATTTCTCAGTTAGGTCATTTTTATCTAAGCATTCTGGAATTTAAAATGGTTAAGAACTGTAGCTGCTTTATGAGTGCACTGAAGAATTTCAAGAGCATTTTGTTAAAAAGTTGATGAATAATATTGTATGCTAATAATAAGCTGTGAGCTCCTTGAAGCGGTATGAAGCATGTATCTAAAAGTCTAGGAAAGCTAGGTTCTAATGTCTGCTTAACTAGATATGTAGAGTAACTTTTTTTGCTTCAGTTATCCTCCTATTCCTTATTTCTAATCTATTGTTATCAATATTTACAATTAGTTGCTGTTTCCATTTCTTTGCGTTTGTTTAATACCTTTAATGTATATATTATCTAGGGCTATTAGATCTGAGTTGCATAAATCCACACAACTTCTAGGAAAGAGAGTTTTCTGTATCTCTTTGTGCCATCTCATTGTCATCAGGATTTTGCATCTCAGATCTAGTAGCCCTTTATTATTTGTGTGTTGTGCCTTGAAGTCAGTGTTGGCGAATGCCTGGCAATTGCCTGGACAAGTCCCTGCAGTTTTCTTGGCAAGATTTTTTCAGAAGTTTGCCATTGCCTCCTTTTTAGGGCTGAGAAAGAGTGACTGTCCAAGGTCATCCAGCTGGCTTTGTGCCTAAGGCGGAACTAATACTCACAGTTTCCCGATTTCTAGCCTGGTGCCTTAATCACTACACTGGCATTATTATAATTATGATTATGATTTACTGTTGTTATTACTGTTAATTCAGAGAGCAACAAAAGAGTATTAAGTGTGCTACAGAATTGTGCCTACTCAGTGGAGTCAGATACCAGTCATTTCTGTAGTAGCATAGACACTACACTGAAGGAATCTAACAATATTTATTTATTATCAGATTATCCTTTAAAACTAAACTGTAAACTTAATTTTTAAAGCTCAGGAGGTTTTCAGAATTCAGCATGTTATCCAGGGCCAATTTCAATACATACCATGCCCATCATCCAGAAATTCTGTTATTGTTGCCGAAGTACATTTGGACCATGGTTTGGAAGCATCAATGCTTGTTAAGATGGAAGACATAAGCCTCTTATCTTCCATGGAACCAAAGTTCTCTTCACAGAATTTGGAGTCATCATGGGAAAGTCCAAGGAGGTGCCCTTGGGGAAGGAAATAAACAACTATAATGTTTTACTGCTGAAAATATAAATTCAAAGACAGTGTTTTCATTCTGAAATTGGCAAATGAAAATATTTAGCCATTTACTTAAGATTCTTATACTGTAGGTTGGCACTGTATGATGAAAAATGGTGAATGCTTTGTGACCCTTTATATTTTTATTGTAACTGTTGGAATATACATTTTACAGCTTTCAAAATGGGATTGTATCCTATTACTTTAAGTCAGGTACATACTTTGTATTGTGAAAGTGTATGCAGGAGTTGCAAATTATGATCAGTAGAAATTAACACACAGCAATGAAAAACTTTGAAGTTCATAGGAAATAATCAGATCAACTATAATTAAATTTAAATTGATCAGATTTATATTTCTCCTGACCCACCTCTTCTCAGGTAGAACTCAAAGAAGAAATACAGTATGGCCCTCAGCCAAAAAAATAGTAATTGTGTACTGCTTCTTTAGAAAGTTTTAGAAACATAACTTGAATAATGGATTCTTAATTTTTCTACCACAACTCATCCTAAGGAATTATATTGTCCCAAATAAGTTTATTATTAAACTTTTAAACTTTTGGCTTACAAATAGTACATCACTTAAGCTTCAAAAGCAACTCTGCCAGATTTATGAGAGACTGTCTTTGAGAAGAGCAAGGGTAAGCATAAAATGGCGAATTCCCAAATATGTGTCATCACCACCTTACCACTTTATTCCCAGTTCCTAATCTACTGCCTTTTATACTATATCCCTGATTTCAAGGGAGTCTTGCATTTTTGAAACACAACTTGGCAAAAAAACTTTCCTGTTAAATCACCCCATTTCATCTTCATTCCTGAAATTTCCCTGAAATTACAAGTAACCAGTCTTACCACTGCATACCTTCTATGCATTCTGGAAGGGCCTGGGTACACTTGGGACTTCTGAAATCCAAATGACTAAAACATATGCATTTGTGTGCTGGATTGCAGCTTTCCTTACTATGTCACCAAATCATATGCTCTGATGATCACAGATTATTCTCTGACTCTGTGAATGGGTTTTCTCTGACAAATCTGATGATATCTTACAGAAATTATTTCAGAATAGGATCTCTACATACAGTATCTTCCTTCTCTTCATTTAACACTACAGTGCAAACACAAACATGTGGATATTATTTCTTAAAAAAACATGTGGTTACATGGAAAAGAGCAAGCTATAGTAGCTGTACGTACTATACATTATTCGTTCAATGATAATTGTCAGGCAAAGGAACAGCCCAGAGAAGCACCCCAAATGCATACTCAGTAGGTAACAAGTATTGAAAAAAATGTACTAGATCTCTCAGATGAGAGCTGAAGAAGTACACCCATGATTTGCAAGTTGGATAATTGGCAAATTATGTACTGCAATCCAAACACTTTTCACTGTCCTGAGAACTGTTTCTCTCTGGTACAGATACAAGCTTGAGAGACTCCAGTGCCATAAGGATGTGGTCACTATGGCTGACCACACCATAATTAACCATCTCCAGCATTAGTTCTTGAGCCACTGTTGCTGACATGGAACTAAACAACAGAGAAAAGCAAAATGATATAATCATAGAGTTATGCTCAGATGATGGATTGGAATTGATGACTACAGAGTGAGTCACAATGATACACTGGCAAAACAAATTTAAACAGCAAACAACTACATGGATGGAATTATATTTTTGCCAGTAAAAGGAAAAGAAGAGTGTGAATAGTAGAAGAATAGAGTTTAACCTTGTATTCGTTTTGTTGTTACCCTATCTACCAAAATAGTTACATTTCAGCAAAATTAATTCAGTCATTGACTGATGGATTATGTGCCATCAAGTTGGTGTCGATTCTTAGTGACCATATAGATAGATTCAGTCACAATTAATATTGCCTAAAAGTTTAAACTGTTGCATGCATTCATGCACAGCATGTATATGTACTCATGGGATAGAGAATCATTCTCCCTGTGACTGTATATTCAGGAACTAGAACTGGAACTTCCAGTGTGTTAAACCCATGCAACATTACAGAGTTTTGACACCAGACACATTTGGTAGTGTTGGTTTTCAAGTGAATATGGAAATATGTGGACTTATTTCCAGTTTGCAAGAAAGGTCTCTGTAACAAAGACATGACATTTATCCTTGCATGAGATCTTATTTGCCAAAAGATAGAAGTTGTGTGTATTCTGTCTGAAACAATTCAGGCTATCAGTAGTGTGCACTGATGGAACTCCCAATCAACATATCTTTTTATAAGCATGTCCCTGATCATTTCAAAGGCATTATGAGTAAAACCATGATGCATTCCATAAAAAATGATGGACCCCATTCCTCCAGGGCCCAAAAATATTTTTAAAAATTATTGTACCTTCCCATATCAATTTTTTTCTAGCTTGTTGGCTGATTTTTTGAGAAAAGGAATCAAGCCAAACAGTTCAGTTCAGCATAAGTTAAAATGTGGCAATGAATTTGACCATACTGCATATCAAATCAAATACAACTTAAATTGTGAAAATAAAATGGAGATTCCCATGTGGGATGTAATGGGCTGTGAGAATAACTTTGGGAGACAGGAGGAAGACCCACAGCCAGGGCAATGATCAGACAAGAGATATCTTAGCCCACACAAGGAATGGGGGTGGACAAAGCATTTCATAAGGGACCCTCCTTAATTTTCTGGAAAGTACAGGCAAGGGAGGGACAAAGTGCTTTCAGACTTGCAAGATTCTGTTACTGTAGCCTTACAGTAAAGCTAGTGTTAGTACTCATGGTTTTGGCTTCCTGTCTGGACTATCTTGAAGGGTTAACATCAGCTCTTGAAGGAAAGGCAGTATATAAATCTGAGAAATAAATTATAATAAAATACTCTTTTGCTGTAGTAGTATCAAATATCCTATGTTGTTATAGATTTTTTTCCCCATAGGTTTCAATTGCATTTTAATAAAAGTGAAGCATATACAGTGTGTGAAGAGAAAAGTAAAAGAGTATGAACTCAAGATACACATAATGCTTGGCTGAGCTGAACTTGGAAAACACAACAGAGAAGTTATAGTGATGTTCTGCTTGTTACCAATTACCCAGAGTCCAAAGATTAAGCAGAACATGATTTTAAAAACCCTGTCTTCCCTATAAAAATAAAATTTCCCTTGAGTGGAGTTTGACCCCTCCACTTCATGCATATATCCCTGCAGTTTTCCTGACAAAAGTCATCACTTCCTTCCTCCAGGATGCTGTTCAAATTCCCAGTGTATCCTTTAGCCCTGATATAACCCAGTAGTTTTCAATCCATATAGAAGCCAGGCCCAGCCCTCCTTAAATTCTGAATCCAAGAAAGCCAGGCATTCTAAGGCTGAACTCCCTATATGATAATCCTGATCTGGCTGTCCCAAGATTATCTTTTGAGATTTTTCTGCTTCAGGTACCAAATAATGGGATTCACAGAATCTAATACAACTTGACTATGGAGGAACACAATATTCTGTCATACCCTACTTGCATCTAGCTTGTTGTTATGGTCCTTTGAGTCAACTTGACTCTTGGTCCATGCAGTTATCTTCCTAACATTTTAGAAGTGGTTTTCCAGTACCTTCTTCTAGGATAATCTTCAACTCCCAGTTTAAATCTAAGAGGAATTACTGACCCAAGTTGCCCAACTCACTTCCATGCCTAAGTGAAGACTAGAACTTGGGTCTCTCCATTCATAATTCAATGCCTTTAACTGCTGAATTTCTGTGGATCTAGGTAGGGTAATCTAATGTCTTTATGAGACTTGTACAGTGATAAAAATGCATAGCAATATCCAAGAAATATTATCATAGGGCTGTGTATGCTTTGGATTCAAAAACAGAAAGGTGCTTTGGAGCATGAGGGGCTGCAATCTCCAACTTCTTAAAACACCAACACAGTTTCTTAGGATCACATGAGAATCTTTGAAAAATAATATTAGCTAGATGTTCTAGATTTTACCCCACTGTAACTATCATCCATAATATGTAAACTAGAGCACAGCTTGCTGAGTGGCACTGTATGCTAGGAATGCTGCATGTCAAGTAGTATCTTTACCCAGGAACTCACAACTTTCATAAAGCACTTGCTTGTTTCTTTTCGTTTTAGTGTAGCCAGTTCTTTTGCCTAATTTTCCAGTAAATATCATAGAGGCTATAAGAAGAGTCAGAAACTTGTTATATAATCCTTCTAATGCTACAATCTGTGCAGTAACTGCACAATAAATGTATAAATAAATGCAAATGCTATGAATGCAGCTATGATTTAATTGAAGATAAATACATTTGGACTGCTCCTTCCAACTCGCACACCAAAAAATCATCTTCTTTACAAGATATATCATGGGATCAACTGTCCATTTTTCAGATGTCCTGGGACTATAACTCTTAGAATTTCAACCAGTATGTTGGCTAGGAATTCTGGAAGCTGTAGTTTTAGCACATAAGGAAACCCCAGCTGGGCAAGCTCGATTACCACCACAAACACACATCAACCTAGTAGTATAATAACCTTGAGGATAATCAGAGCTGACATTGGTATCTGGCATTTTTGGGACAACTTTCAGGTTTGCAGAAGCCTGGCATGGTTTGTCACTGGTATTATTGGATCCCCTCTTTGGTTACTGGTATTATTGGATCCCCTCTTTGGTTACTTTTTTTAATTGTCTGGGACTCAAGGAGCAACTGCCAGTAGGATCTAACTGCTGTTGTATTTCACAGCATTCACCCAATGCTGTCTTTTTCTTGGGGTGGATGGGAAATGAAAACAGTCTATCCAGGCCCCATATCTGTTCGGGGTCCTGCTATTTCTAGCCATCAGTCACAGGGAGCCTTCCATGACCTACTGAGTAAGAATGGGGCTGAAAGAGGGCACTTTTCTGAGAGGTCCCTCAAACTGGAAATCAGTGATAAAATATGTCTTTATGTAAACCCACACAAAGAGTCACAGCAGGATCCTAAATAGTTCCTTTCC